GTCGACACCTCCTCTCCCCCCCCCGCCCCAACTGCACTCCTGCCCTGCCTTCAGACCTCTCTCTTCCTAGGCTGTATGGTCCAGGAACATCCATGGTCCTGCTGGACCACAGATAATGATGGACCAGAGTGTTCTGGTTTAGGGAGTCACAACCTGTACAAAGAAAACACATTAAAATCAGCAAAACCTAGGCACATGCTAATAAGCATATCAGAGATCACCCTGACCCTAACATGGGTTCTGGCAGGAGCAGTCCTTCAGACCCCACCCGGAGGGGACAGGCGCCAACTTTGCAATGTGCCTGTGGGGTCTCGACCCTCGGCTCTGATCCAAGCCCCTACCCACACTGCACCCTTTCCGCAAAGATCCCAACTTTGCCCAGCTTCTTCCTGACCTTTCTCTTTTCCTGAGTGTACACTCCTTACTCCGGCCCCTTGCATGCCGTGAAACAGCTGATTACAGTGGGCAGAAGGGAGGGGGAGGAGCTGGGAGGAAACAGCTGGTGGCTGCTCAGCACTCACTTTTTTTTTTTTCCTGTGAGTGCATCATCACTGGAGCACTGATAATTGGCATCTGTGCTCAAGGTGTTTCCTTATGGTTCCAAGTTCATTAGAGCTCCAGCTCGGAACAAGCACAAAGCTGAATCCATCCTTTATACAGTCCAGATGTCTTTTATCTGGAATTTCCAGTAGCAGATCATTAGTAGACGATGGGTCTCTTCCATTTCTTCAGAAGGTCTCCCGGCTACTTCCTAGGAAATCCTCTTCACACATATTGTCCCGAACTGTTATTTGAAATTCCTAACATTTGTTAGTCACATGACTAGAAGAGTTACAAACAATCCTATAATAATACATAAATAATTGCATTTTGAATGCAATGGCCCCCAAAGATATTCGGCCTAATTCAGTTATGTTTATTTTAGTTCCATAAAATTTGTCTAAGATATTGTCAGTCTTTCATGCCTTTTACTTATTAACTGAGCAAATTTGATCCTAAACCAGTGAGACACACATATGAAACATTTTACAGTAATGTTTCAGAGTAGAACTGCACTTTAACTTATAGCTGGGATTGTACGCGAGCCACACTCCTGGCATCTTCCTTGCTGATGTGCTGAATTAGCTCATATTCTAGATGCCTTCTTCATGCCTTTCTCTAACTAGCCCTGCTTTCTGCACAGTAATGACCATCTTCAGAGCCCAAGGGGATGCAGAAGTTTTCTGTTCTCTTAAATTACTGTTATCCTCTAGCCTTTGCCTCAATAGACTTATTGCCATTGAGAAGTGAATAAACTCCATTTGGCAGAAACTGGTTGCAAATATGTGTGTCAGTCTCTGAATGATGATACTTCTCTTTGTTGATTATTTCAGTAAGCATAAAGTATAGTAGTAAAACGCACATTGTTTTCAGGAGCGAAATAATGTACTACAGACTATGCACAAGAAAATACAAGATTTGGAACTGGAACATAATGACTGCACAGAGATTTTGCAGCGACAGAGCAACGAACTTAAATATAGTACTGAACGAGAGGAGAGACTTAAAAAAGACCTTGAGGCAAGTACTTTTTCATTTGTTCCTATTAAGTTGTTTTTTGTCTTCTCCATTTAATGAGATTAAATTAGATCTTGAATTTTATACAGGGGCAGTTTCTGCAGTTAATGTTGTATCATTTTGAATGAATTGTTAATTTGCAATGCTTGACTTTCATTTAAGATGGAACATGACCTACCTGTTTTGTAACTTAATGAAAAGCTGAGCAAAGCAACACAACTGATTTGCTGCATAGTTGTAGCTTTGCCTGGTCTGGGCCCTGGTTTTCCATTGGATGGAAAAGGCCTCAAAGGAATAGAGAAATCTGGAAAGAGCTCAGTGTACCAAATCATGAATGATCATCTTTTTTTTTTTTGTATTAGTTCCTTACTTTAAGAAAAGTGTGCAAATGTTATTCACCCACTGATTTCTCTAACTCAGATGGTATCTTGATGACCCTTATCACCCATACATTCCCCACCCCTGGGCTAAACAAACTAATCTCTTTGGCTGTGTCTACATTGGCATCCCTTTCCGGAAAAGGGATGCTAATGAGACACTTCAGAATTGCAAATCCGCGGGGGATTTAAATATCCCCCGCGGCATTTGCATTTTCATGGCTGCCGCTTTTTTCCGGCTCGGGGTTTTTGCCGGAGAAAAGCGCCAGTGTAGACGCGATTCTCCGGAAAATAAGCCCTTTTCAAGAGTAGAAATAAGGGATCCTCCGGAAAAGAGTTTATTTTCTCCGGCTTATCTACAAGCCGGAAAAAAGCGGCAGCCATGTTAATGCAAATGCCGCGGGGGATATTTAAATCCCCCGCGGATTTGCCTATTCCAAAGTGCTACATTTGCATCCCTATTACTGAATAGGGGCCAATGTAGACACAGCCCTTGAGTTTACAGATTCATTAAGAATTGGAGACTTGCAATTTCACGTGCCGCTTGCTTTAATATTCTTAGAGATTATTCAGGCCCCCTGATCTAGACTCATTACGCTTTTTGAGTTTGACTTCTACCTTGGATGTGGTAATTTCTAAGTGTGATTTCAATTAATAGTCATATTTTAAACATGATTTTAAAACAGAAGTGCCTCATGCTGTGAAGATGGACTAATTATATATTTTTAACTACAGTTTATCTCATTCTGAAAACAAAGGGATGGTCAGGGAGGATCAATGATTTAAAAAATCGTTCTTTGTATAGAGCTACCTTTTTAGGCCCTGATCCTGAAATGATCTCTGTGTGGTGGACCTTTGTACCCACCTTTGGAATCCTGCGCAAGTCAACTGTGTGAAGTGGCCAACAGAAATTGAAATAGAAAACTTGTCTGATCCTAATTTTTATTCTAAATTCTCTTATATCTTGGGGCATTCTGTGATAGCATGTCTGAGGTAGGCTACAATGAAAATGCCACACTCTGTGCAGATTGCAAGAAATTGGGCAGACAATGTCCAGAAGTGGTGGTTTATTCCATAATTAGATTAACCAAGCCAGGAACAAAATAGTTCATGCGGTAGTGCACTGGTTAACCAAAAGCCCAAAACAGTCCCCCTTGCACATTCCAACTCTTGGCTTCCATCTAGGCAACATGCTCTAAAACAGTGAAGGTTATCGAAAACCTATTTTACTATATATATCAGGTTTACTATATGTCCAGGGTGTCTTATAATGTTAAAAAAATGTCCCCTGACTTGGCCATAAATGCTGAGACTCCTCAGGCAAGTAGTATGGGCTGTAAATAGAAATCTCCATATAGCTTTAAATTAAAGTTTTTAAAAAATCTGTGAATCTGTGACTTAATTATGTTGACTTTTGCATATTCTGTCAAATGGGTAATCCTGCACTGGCTTGGCAGGCTTGATCTCCTGAAGGAAACTTTCTCAGAACAGAGTTCATAATTATTTGTATTTGCCTTGTTAAGTAGTGGGGGAAATTAATTAGAAATAAAGTTGTTAATGTTTAAAAATGTACTTGAGCACAGGTGCAAGTGAAAATCCCATAAATACTTGAACTATAATGTTCACCATGGATGTAGTACTGACTGTTGTACTCAACTTGGCTATGTCTACACTGCATGATTATTTTGGAATAAGCTATTCTGGAAGAAATACTCCAAAATTAACTTATTTCGAAATAGCGCGTCTACACTACAGGGGAGCCAGGAAATTAGTCTGAGGCAGGCTCCCCAAGTGTGGACATGCTACCTCAATTTACAGCCCCAGGAAGCACTGGGGAGTAATTACTTTGAATGGCTTGGAGGAGGAGCTATTTTGAAATAGCAGCAGTGGAGCGTCCGCACTACTAATATTTTGAAAGAGATGTTATTCCTTGTGGACTGAGGTTTACAGATGTCGAAATAAGCCACCCATTATTTTGAAATTATTTCAAAATAATGGGCTAGCTGTCTAGACACTCGCATAGTTATTTCGGAATAACAGACATTCTGAAATACCGCTGCTGTGTAGACCACAGCAATTTGTAAGATTTATTTCCTCAATCATCCATCCAAGTGAAAGACCTCAGTAGTGGTAGAAAACAGTATAGTGAAGGTTGCAAATTTGTTTCCATGATCCCAAGTCTTGGGTCACTTATTTTCTAAAATATTCCCTAATTCAGCTGAAATTTTCCAAATGATCAGAATGTCTTTAAATCTGCCGTTATATTTGTTTAAACAGATTATCCACTTTTTGTTCGTGGCTGTAAACAAACTTTATGGGGCTGTGGGAAACTTGGCCACACCCATGATAAGTAGACATCCCACTAAGATCATGCCAGACCACAGATGTTGCTGGATCAGAGAGTGCCGGACTAGAAAGATTCCACCTGTAGTCGCTGTCTCCATCTCCCCAGTTAGAGCCAGATTGTCTCTCCACACTCCGATTTGGAGGAATGGGTGTGACAGAGGGCAGAATATGCAACACTTTGCCCAGTCATCTGTCAGAGGGTAATATGTCTAAAAATCATTCTTTTGATATCTGCATATATCTTCTTTTTTTTCTTTTAAATAGTCATTTAGCTGGGCTAAAAAAACAAAATTGAAATAGCCTACTGGCAGCAGCGAGTATGGATTCCTAGTAATCCTAACTTGTAAGATAATATAATGCTTACCTTAAGAATCTTATACCTTGAAAATCCTTGTTAAAACATAACACTATTGAAGCTGATACCTGGTTTTTCGTAATGTAAACATCTTTCATATTTTTAGGCAGCAACTGTGAGAGTGAAGAAATTGGAAGAAAACATTGAGGCAGAGAGAGCAGCACATCTGGAATCAAAATTTAATTCTGAAATTATCCAGGTATCAGGTGTCAAATATTTGTGGAATTTCCAGTTTATGACAGAGAAGCCAGTAGAGCTGCAAGGCCCCAAACAGGGCCTAACGTTGTACAGGTTGTACCTCCCCTAACCAGGACTTCCTGGTCCAGCAGCATCCACGGTCTGGCACAGACCATGGATGTTCCTGGACCATAGAGCCCATGGACAAGGAGGTCTGGCGACAGGGCAGGGGCACTGTAGGGAGTACCCAGTGTAGCGGGGGGCAGGGGAATGGGCAGTACGGCAGGGAGCTCTGCTCTCAGTGTTGGCTGTGGAGCCTCGGCCCCAGTGGGAGCCAGGAAGCTATGGGCCCAGCTGTGGAGCTCCGGTCCCAGCCCCATTCTACCTCCAGCAGCCAGGGAGCTCCGGCCCAAACCCCAGCCGCAGAGCTCTGGCCCTGGCTGCGCAGCTCCAGCCCCAGCTGTGGAGCCAGGTGGCTGTGGAGCTGTGCCCTGACTGCGGAGCTCCGGCCCTGGCTGCAGAGCCAGGCAGTTGTGGAGCTGTGGTGCTCCAGCCTCAGCAGCAGCAGGGTTGGCGGCATCTAGAAAGCCGGAGGGGCCTGGGGCAGCAGTGGGGGCAGGTTGGTGCCCTAACCCGATAGCAGTCTGGGCCAGGAGGTGAGGGATCTCCCCTCATCTAGCAAATCCCGTCATTCAGTACCAATCAGGTACTGAGAATGCCAGACCAGAGAGGTCCAACCTGTATTAGTTATTACATGACTACAGGGCGGCTTAAAGGAAATGTCCTACTAGTAAAACATTCCTGTACTGTTAAAATACCCAATAATTACGTTTTTGCCAGGATTGCTGATGGACCTGAATGAAGATTGAAAGCACACATGTAACTGTTTCATAGGAGCAACAAACTATGTAACTCAGTCCATAGTTCTCTGAAATTACTGCTTAAATATGATTTTTAGTTAGCAGATTTTATCTTCAAACAAGATGATTGTACAGTATTGACAGATAATAAATGTGATTATGTATGTGAGCAAGCTTACTACATATTAGATTATAAAAATTAAAATTTTATATTTTAATTTTGTGCTACATGGTCTTTTAAATAAATAGTTAAGCACAGTTTACTTTAAAGAACAAATATGAAATCTTAGTGTGCTGAAATCATTTAAAAATGTATTCTTTTAATTATTTGTGTTCTTTTTGCATTCAGACTTTTATCATTTTGTAGCCAGTTTTATTTTCTGGTTCTTGCACCTTCTAGTTCTCCCTGCAAATGCTTTTCAAATGTCCACTACAGTAATATTAAAAAAGGATAAAGAAAAATATATTTAATTTTCCTCTTTTACAAAAATATAAATGAATTGAAATGGCAACATTCTTTGGTGTTAGAAGATCGGTTTTCTGAACAGAAGACTGGTGAGGTTTTCTATTGTGGATGTACATGGAGTTGTCACATTTCTGCTCTGCGCGTTGTGAAATTTAAACCTTCACTATTAATCTTATTCTTAAATGAGATTAAATTTATGTAAAATATAGAACTCCACTGATAAAACTTACCAGTATACTTACCTACATAAATTAATACAATCTAAATTCCATCAAAGTGTAGTATAAGGTACTTTTACTTATACTGTCTCACACAGCAAAACAGAATACCACTGAAGATTAATGATAGCTTTCCCTAACTTGCTTAATTGCTTTCTTATCATTTGGTAGTTAAGGATTCGAGACCTTGAAGGAGCTTTGCAGGTAGAAAAAGCCAGCCAAGCAGAAGCTCTTTCAGATTTAGAAATGATCAAGAAAGAATTCAAAGAGGTGGAAAACGCATATGAGAGAGAGAAACGTAATGCCCAAGAGAGTTTGGAAAAACTCAATATGTAAGTTTCTCTACTAAATGTATTGTAAGCCAGCAGTAACAGCTTGTGTAGTACTATACTTTGCATCCTTTTTAGGTTGCAGTTGCTAGAAGATGATGTGATCATGAACATTTGTGTAGGCCTGACATTGCATCAGTGCTGCTGGTAAATAAATACACTACAGATAGACATTTAACCTATTGTTATATGGATCATTTGCAAAGCATTCATATTGGGATGCTTGCTAGCAACGTTGGATGAGACCATTTTTTCCCCTTCTTTGCATGTTAATATTGATTTATTTTTAAAGCAAACCCTAATTTACAGACTTCTAAGAAAAAGATGCAGATTATTCCTGGTGAGGAATGCCTCGTAGCCTTTGTATGCAGTGTTGAAGCCGGGTTGATTCCAGTATATTAGAGAGACTAAGTGGGTGACACAGATGCCACTTCCCCCCCTTGGTTGTGCTCTACCCGCCTGCCCCAAGGTTCTGCCCGATTCTGCTTTGTCCCTTCTTATCCTCCAAATCTCTACCTTTGCTCCACTTCCACCTGTCCCCACTTTGCCTCCTTCCTGAGGTCCCAGTCTGGTCACTGCTGCCTGCCTTCCCCTAAGCCCTTCCCTCAGCCACCAGTCAGCAGTTTTGGTGGGTCCTCCAATCAGCTAATTGAGGATGCCAACAAACAGCTGTGCTGAGCCCATACTTTTTTCCCATAAGTGCTCCAGCTTTGGCGCACCTACCGATTTGGCACCTATGGTGGGTGAGTTAATATATTGTCATTGGACCAACTTTTTTTAGTGAGAGACACAAGCTTTTGAGCTTTCACAGAATGTTTCTTCAGATCTGGAAAACTTGAATTTTCTTGACCAACAACTCTTGGTCATGCCATGAGTGGTTAATTAGAATGCTCTTTAATTATCTGTAACAGCCTAATATGTTGCCATCAGGTTTGCTGACTGACTGGGAGGATTAAGCTTGTGGAATAAATACAAAACCAAAATAAAATAGCTAGATAAAAATGGCATACCCATTTTAGAGCTATTTTTAGTATTGTCATTTTATAAATATATTTTTATGTCTTTTGGTGCAACAAGAAATTAGGCTTAATTAATACTTGGTTAGCATATGAGACATAGAGAGGATTTTCAATTCTGGCATCAGAACTAAACAGTGGTGTTCTACAGTTTACTCTCAATTGTTGATCTGGGCAGTTTTATTAGTTGCTGTCATAGCATGACTTTTGCCTGTTGAGTATTTAAAACAAAAAAAACCACAACCCCATCTCAGGTTGGGAAGGTGAGTTGTTCCTCTAAAGAATCCAGACTCACTCCAGAGAAGTGGCAGGTAAAGTCAAATAGACAAACTGCAAATCTTGTAATGAGGTTTAAAAGAAATGGAAAAAGCCCCTTACCAGAGTTCCTTCCTCTCAACTATTCCTGAATTTCCAGATTCTCTCCAAAGATCTGGCGATGAAAATCAAAAGCAAACCAGCAGAGATCCCTCTGACTCAGAGAAGCTGTCAGCACCTTTATCCCCCTCTTGTGAAGGAAAAGATGATTGCTAATATCTTGCCACTCCTTTTCCCATTATGCTTTGCTGTGGAGTCCTAAAAATCTCATGTTCTGGGACTTGGGGCTGCATTCCCCACGATTCCCTCTGACCAAAAGTACAAAGAACCTGACTCACCCATGCTTTAAGGTTGTGATCCTCTGCCCTAGATGGAATCAACAGTGTGGGGTCTCTTCCAAGTCATAGACTGACACCACAAAACCACTTCCCTACCGTTTTTCCTTTTCTCCCTTGTCCCAGAAATCTGTCTTGAATGTCTCTTCTATACATCTAATAGACAAATTAAGGGGAAGACCACACTGGTAAAACAAACTGGTAAAAATAAAAAAGCAAGGAATAGGATGGGCTTTTTCATTCCAAGCTCTTGGACAACACTTACAGCGGTAATGAGTGTAATAATGTCCCTAGCATTTAGAGTTAAGTCATAGTTAGATGTTTGTTTGAGCCATCTGTTTGGCATTAAAATCCTATGCCATACAAGTTACAATAAAACATAACCAGATTTTATATAGACACGGTTGGTGCTATTGTTATGGTTTATTTTTAAGTTGGTTATGGAAGACTTGCCTGGAGACTGAAGGAGAGTCAATTTTTGAGGTAATTGAATGGTCAAGAATTTTGTTCATTAAATGTAATCTAGAGGGCACATCAAGACCACTAAACCTATTTTACTTATGACTGCAGGCATAGTACAACACTTGGTTATCTGAAGGGGAAGTATAATTTCTTTAATATCTTTCATTTAAGGAGTGGATTTTTTTATGAAAAAAAGTAAAGGCAACTTTTAAAGCCTCGTGGCATGAAAACACGATATATAATACATCCGTTGATTGTGCTTAAAAGTATATAATGTTGGTTGACAAAAGTATATTTGAAAACCTGTTTTAACACTGAAACTTTTCAGATTAGAAAGAGAGTATTTCTCCGCAAACAAGCAACTTAATGAAGAGATCGAGGAAAAGAAGAAAGTAATTACAGACCTCTCTGAGAGACTCCAGGATAATGAAAAAAGTTGTCAAGAATTACAGGAGGAACTTGCAAGGGTAAGAGAGAAGTCTCGTGGCACTTGCTTTATTGGGAGAATAGATAACATTGTATATTTTACCATGTAAAAAGTTGAAGAATATTATGAAAATTATTTGATTACACTGAAGATTTAATCTAAGAGCATGTCTACTCTTTCTATTTAAAGCAGAAAAAGTCCATTTTTGGCATAAAAGATGGGCATGTCTACACTTGCAACGACATTTTTTCAATGATACTCAGAAGTTTCTCCACAAAAAGAAAGCCATTTCCACAAGAGATGTACAGCTTTTACTGGTGATGCTTTTGCAGAGATGTGCAAGTGAAGACGCGGTCTTCATGTATACACAACTTTTAAACTCTGCAGGATATCCCACAGTGCTAAGGTGACCACTCTAGAACAGTAGTGTTGAAATTGGTCTGTGGACCCACTCTGAGAGAGCTGCTACCGGGCCGCACCAGTTTGTTTACTTACCAGTTCTGCAGCCACAGAGCCTTATGGCTCCCATTGGCTATGGTTTGCCATTTGCAGCCAAGGGGAGCTGTGGGAAACAGCATGACCCTGGACACGGCTTGTGGGGCTCTGTGGCTGCCCAGCCACTAAGGAAACAGATTGGAGTTGCCCGGTAGCAGCTTTCTCAGAGTGGGTTCATGGATCACTTTGTGGAACACTGGTCTAGACAGAACTGCTGCTGCTATGACACCAGACTCTCCTTCCTATATTCTTGGCAAGTATTCACTTATCTGGCCAGGTGACAATGCCTGCTCCGCAGAGCACAGGATCCCCTGCTTGCAGCAGTGCTGCGTTCCTGGAGTGGAGAAAGAAGGATATGCAGGAACTAAGATCCCCTATAATCACGCACCCCCACTCCATTCCTGAGAGAGCTACACTGTGGGATAGCTGCCCTCAAGGCACTGCTTTCCATGGGATGGAAGTCCTGCTAATGTGAATGCTCCACCTCCATCTCCCAGGGCAGCCCAGACTAGTTGGGAGAAGTTGGTGGAGTGGGACTGGCTTGGGAGATAATCGCGGAGTGGAGCAGGCTGCTCTGTAACTCTACTTCCCCATATCATCAGGGGAGCCAATCCCTGCTGCCAGCCCCAGCCCGCCCAAGGCTCCATTGGCTAACCTGGGACCATGGGATAGGGGACCATCCCATCCATAGGATGGCTGCGCCAAACCATGCTATCGATGGATGACTCTGCACGCAACTCCCATGGACCACAGGGTCATGCTAGCAATGACGCAGAGCTATCAGACAGAAACTGCACTAGCCCCACTGCGCTACTGGTGGTAGTACTGGAGGTCCCTGGTCGGGGCGCAAAATTGCCTAGGGGCAATAGGTGGGGTTGGGGCATGCACAGGGGGTGGGAGGAGCAAATGCACTGGCTAGCAAGTGGGGCCAGAGGACACATGGGGGGGAATGCATGGAGATACCCCTGAACCCCCAACTCCTAGCTAGGAGGGTACCTGCTGGCTCACTAAGGGCACATCTAGACTGGTTTTTTTTCGAAAGGAGATATGCAAATTTGGCACTAATTTGCCTATCTTCTGATAGTATTTTTTGAAAGCAGGTCTTTCGGAAGTGAAAGTCTGGATGTGGGGGTTTTTTTTCTGGAAAAAAAACAACCCTTTTTCAAAGAATGCCCCCTCCCCCCCCCTTTTTTTTTTTTAAAGAAAGAGCATTTTTTTTCAAAAAAGGGTCTATCTTGGCTTGTGTTGCACTGGCATGTATCACCAACCAAAATTGCAGCCATTTTGTGGGATTTTAATTTATGTGGTAAACCATTACAGAGTTTAATGTATAAAATACATTGGTATTGTATTACTTTCTTACTCAGTGCTGGAATTTTCTCAGGAGATTGAGGGAGCAGGGAGCTAAGAGCTCCAGCCTCAGCCAGGCTCCGAGTGGGGAGCTTTGTGGAGAGCTGACAGCCCAGGCTCTCAGCCCCCCTCCCTGCTCTCTGGAGTCAGTGGAAGTGCTCCTAGTGAGGATGTGCACCACCAACAGAAGGAGAGTATTGTAGGTGTGGAAAACTGCAATAATTACTATGGTGGCTGGAAGTTGACCAAACATAGGGAGTATAAATTTGTAGTGTAGACATGGCCTAAATCTCTTCATGTGGAGTCCCCTGAATCTCTTGTCTAATATAAGGGATCTAGTGTAGTTCTGTTGTGTTTAGGAAATTCTGTACTGTAGGGAGCAGCACTAGTCATAAAATTATTGCTTTTTCCAGGAGAATCAGCACTAAGAAAAATAGCTTTAGAAGCATAAGGACTAGAAACATTTTTTAAAAAAGTAAATGAAAGCTTAGATCCTGCAAAAAATCTGATGGTAGGCCACTAATCTCTAGTGTAGAACCTTACCCATTCTCATTAAGTATGTGCATTAGGAGACTGGGAAACCCTTTGATATATTCTTCTCAATGCAGATTCACATCTATATTTGTTTTCTATTTTGCAAATTTAAGGGAAATGATCATAGGCTACAATGATAGGGGACAGGGAACTAGAACAGGAATTAGAAAGCAAACAAAACTGATTGTGGATAAAATATAGAAGAGCTGGCTAAGGAATTTCCTTTAGATATTTAACTGCAATTGGAAATAGAGACTGAAATTGGCATGGAAACTTATGGACACAGTTAGGAAATGTGAGTACAGAGCAATGATGAAGGCCACATAAATTATAATGTACTGATTAAAATGTGGTGAATTTAAAAAAAATAGATGTCTGAGTTAAAAAAAAAAAAGCACATTTGTTTAGGTGCGCTTAGATATGACTTTTCTGTGGGATAGATTCAGTAAGTATGACCTTGTCTGTCGTAGAGTAGCTTATATTAAAAAAGAAAGCCTTTTTCTTACTGTGATATTGACCATACTGTTATATTTTCTTATTGACAGTATGCATGTAAGATAAATCCTTTAAATGTTTTTACATCCAGTGAAAAAGATAATCCTTTAAATTATATTTTATTGGTGTTCTGCAAATATAAGCACTTGTATATATGGATTTCAGTAGTGTTGGAAATTCTTTGTGAAGTATAGTACAAACTATCACATAGGGAAATCCATGTAAGTGCTACAGGGAACCTAACACTGAAACATACATGAATAATATATTAGGGGATATACAGCACATATAATTAAAATTGAAACAGTAAAACAAATTTTATAAAATATTTAAACTAAATAGTGGCGAACACCACAGAAATTTGCATATATTTGTTCTTGTTTGCCAATGATATGCTCCCAGTTCATGAGAGAGTTTTTGGGGGCAAGATGTTTTCCATATTGGAAAAACTGCTTGAATCCTTGAATAGGCAGTGGTATGTTGGTCTGTACATACTAGACATTATAATAGAATTTTCTTGGGGGTGTGGAGAGTAAGCTTTCTCTGTTCTGATCAAATAGGAAGCAAAATGTATTCAACCAGGGAATCATAATTTTAGAACAGATGATAAATAACCAGTAACTGGTCAGGGCCAGAAACAGGAAATGTGGACTTTATTTCTTCATCACACCTCCATTATAAGGATATTGTGCAAAGGGTACGTTTAATTATTGCTTACTTCTGACTCCTTTTCCACTTGTCGTCTAGACACATATGTCATTTTTCATTTAATTGTAAACTCTTTGGCAGAGTCCATGTATACATGTTCATTTGGCAGGACCCCACTCCTAGGGCTCTAGGTGTTACCATAATATAAGTATTTGATTTATAGTATTCTGGAAACTTCAGTAACGTTCAGTAGTTACTGAAGTTCTTCCCATCTGAAACCCCCCGTTGGATATATCTACACTGCAATAAAAGATATGCAGTATGGCCTCAGCCTTGACTGGAATATGGGCCCTTAGGTTATAAAATTGCAATGTAGAAGCTGGGCCGGAGCCTGGATCCTTCTCCCTTGTAGGGTCTCAGAGCCTAGGCTTGGGCTGAAGTTCAGGTGCTGACTGGTTTGGCTGAACCAGGCTCCGAGATTTGTTGCCATAGGTTTTTTTTTTTTTAATCACAGTTGTTTCTCATGTAGGAATGAACCCTTATTAAATGCTACTGTATGCATATATTTTAAAACCTAACTAAAGTTATAGGGTTCCTTTGGCAATTAATATTTACCAGTACTATTATGATATACACAGGGTTTGTGTGGTGTAGCTATTCTGATATAGCAATGTCAACAGAATGCCCTAATGTGGAAACCGGAGTTCTGCTGGCAAAGTTAAACCACCTCTTCAAGTAACAGTGATGCAAACAGAAACTCTCTCAAAATTGCATCTATGAAACCAGGGTTTTAGTTGGCACAGATGTGTCACCCCCGCCCCTTTAGCACTCATAGCTGACATAGCTATGCCAGCAAAACTTCGTAGCACAGTTCAGACCTTAAATTCTAGGATCTGTATGTACCAGAGTGAAGTAAGTGAGATGTGCTCAAAGTGCATTCTCAAATGCTTTCGCCGGATTGAGGCCTTAGTATTCTGGTGGATATCCCAATCCTAATAATAGAGAATGGCAATAGTTGTTGCTTAATTTTATTAACACTGTACAAGTTAAGCTTAATTGTCATAGATCAGGATGTGAGTAGTCATGCCTAATAGCTGGGGCAGATTTGGTAGCTGGGTAACCCAAGGTCAGAGCTGCAGTCAGAGTCCAAATGCCAGAGCCAAGAATCGGAGACAAAGTCAGAATGGGAGTTGAGGGTCAGAGCTGGGTTATCTAGAGCGAGACAAAGCGGAGGCTGTGAGAGAAGTGGGTCAGAGTTAAGAGTAAAGTGGGAGTGGGATTAGAACAAGCTGGGAGCAAACCTGAGACCAGTAGGTGCAGGGGAACTATTGCAACCACATGCAAATGCTCTGAGCAGCTGCTGAACTTCTGCTGCTGAATTTAAGAGCTGGTCTGCTGCACCTTCCCACCAGTCAGGTGTTGTGGCCAAGCAGGCAACCTACAACAGGCTAGCTACACTTGTTAGTAGCTGAATCATTCCTGACATTAGTGAGTGCATATTTGGCCAGTGCCAAGTGTTTAATGTGCTTCAGTGCTGAGTGTGAAATATAAAGCTAACCTTGTATTAATATTCTTTAAACATATTTTCATAGAAAAAGAAAACATGTCACATGCTGCCTCAATATTCGTAGCTACATTTTACGTTCACTTACTTTAAGTGCAAGACTTTAGGTATCACAATAAAGATGAAGGGAGAAATCTAACACCTCCTTCAGATTCTGCTCCTCCAGTGGAGTCTGCTGCACAGAGCAGGGAAGAGTGTGATGTGAAATGTAGATGGAGTGTGAGGCCACAGCACCTACTGCTATGCTTATCCTCCCACTCTCTGTGATAGTGGAGTACAAAGATAAGTCAGCTGATGGGCTGAAACAGCCATTGTGGATTGTCTTTGCAGCTATTAGACAGGCTTGTGGGAAAGGTGTCTCCCCCATTGCCTGTGTAAGCAGGGGAATGGTCCCGCTCTTGTGGGGAACTTTCCTGGCTTCTATACACCCCGGTGAAATGAACCAGCGAAAGGATCTGAGTCCCCGCTCCCACTTCCTTTACCCCACAGCTCCCTGATCCTGAGGGCTCCCCCTCCACTCTCCTGAGTAGCAGAGCCCTTGAAACCCCAACAAGGCTGGGCCCAGGTTTCCTGGGGCTTAATCCCTGACCTTGTAGTCACTAGGGGCAGGAGTTAGGGTGTCCCCACTCCGAGGTGCTCTCTTTACACTGCAGGCCTTCTTGGCCCAGTGACCACTTCATAAGGTTCAAAGCAAATACAATTTATTAAACATCAACTGATTAAAGAGAATAGAATAAGAAACAATGAGAATGGTTAAATGGGAACACACAGCCCTGCTCTGTAGCACAGGGACATCAACACAGCAGTCTGCAGAGTGTAAGGACAGTTCACAGTCTCTTCCTTAGAAGCCCTGGATGTGCTGCAAGGGGCTGCAGGCTGGACACGCTTGCACTGGCAGTGACCACACAGCCTCAGTCTCTAAGTGGCCAGACCCCTCTCCCAGTCCAGAGCCTTTCCCCACACTTTGCAGGTCCCAGTAGCTCACCACATCCAGCTGCAGGCTGTGCTGCTTGGCCAGTTCCAGCTCCTTGTGTTGTTTCTCTGTTCCTTTTGGCTTTCTGAGCACTGCCAGTCTGCTGCTCAACACAGGGTCTGCACTGCTTGGCCTGTCTGTGTCTGGTTCTGTCGCTGCAGGACTTCTTCTTGTACTCCTCTTTCAGCTCTCTGTCTTTGCAGGACCTCTTCTGCACACAGCTTGTTTGTTCAGAGACAGAGCCAGAACAATCCCCACTTACAACCTGTCAGTCAGGCTGAGCTGGAGTGTTGACTGCTTTCCATTGTCTCTGGGGTCTGTCAGTCTCATGAACCCTTCCCCTTCTGAAGCTGGTAAACCAAAAAACTCCCACAGAGTTTTAGTAAGGGGTAACAGTCCCCTTACACCTGACTCCGAGCCCATCTACACAGGTTGGTTGCTGGGCTACCCTTTGAAGAAGAAACAATAATCAATATGAAATAATTAGTATCTAACATTTTATTTCATTCTAAATATTTTCAGACATTTTAATGTTAACTGGCCCTCAAAATAGGGTCAACTCCTTAGTTTGAACATATTCACAAGATCCCTCAGGGGAAAGCTTACTGAAAGTAAACCAGATGCTGGGAGTTGAAGTGTTTTTCACAATCCTGTAATTTCTGGGACATTAACTAGAAAGAAGAATTTCTGAGATTGGACAAACCACTACCTACCATGGAAAATAAATATAGCTAATAATGACACTAGGCAAATTGCTACTACAGTAGGCATGCTTTTCCAGAGAAGCAGATCACAGATTTCCATTCCATCTTCTCAGAAGCATTATGCCTTTCCATATGACCTTTCAGGGTGCAACAATTAGCTTTGTTGTTTGTGTGCATAGGCAGCATATGACTATTTTAGCTACACAAAGAAAAAAAATCACTGTACTTTTAAAAACTTTACTAAGGCTTTGTCTATACTACACGGCTTTTAGTGATATGGCTGTGTCGACACTGTCCGTGTTGCTAAAAGTCAGGTAATGTAACCACAGTTTTTGGAAACTTGCCAACAAAGAAATTCCTGCTCTCTACCAGTAGCATTTGCTTTGTCTGCAGGAGAGCCTTTCTGCCAACCAAACGTTGTTTGCACCCTGGCAAAGCTTTTGTCATTAGGGCTGTGGGGAGGAAACGGGCGTGATGAGGCCATGTGAACAAAAACTTAGTCGCTCAATTTCCAGTGTAGGCAAAACCTTATTCTGACTGCTTGAAGGCCCACACGCTCCCTCCACCACTGTTTATCCCAAATGCATGTTAATACACATTTAAAAACTGTTTTAGCTATTTGTTCTGTCACATTGTATCATCTTGGTTTCAGGAAAAAGGAATGCTGTGCAGAGAGACATTTTATATAATTAGTTCTACAATAAAATGTTGTTGTAACGCCAGTTTATTTACCACTTTAATGTTTTTTTTCCTTTACCCACGCCCTGTCAAATAAAGGCCAAGAAACACCAGACATTCCTAAAGGAGACCTGTGAAAACAACGTGAGAGAACTGAAGTTACTCTTGGACAGCTTTACTGTGTCAAGCCAGCGGACAGCAGGTTAGTTGAAGGTATAAAATGACAGATGCATCTGTCAATGTTCCAAAGTCACTACATTGTGGGAATTCTGCAGATGCCTCTTGCATTCCCTCTTCTCAACATGCTTTGATTTGATGACATGATAAGCACAGTTCTCACAGCAGTCAAGTGGCCTCACTAGCTGAGAAAGGGTGAGAGAATGTGGACCTGCTGTTGTCAGCCCAGAACTTGATTTACAAGTGCTGGGGTCTATATGATCGGTCAGAAAAGGGCTCACTTGCTGTGCTCTAAATCCAACAGAGAAAAAAGTCCTTACAGTCTACCTGCAAGGAGAACAGATGTTTTCACTGAACTGAGCCAAATTCTGAGGCAACCTTCAGCATCTTAAAGGTCACATATTTAAAAAGGTTATGTAGGACACAGGGTGGAACACAGTTCTTTTTATAACATTACTTTACTCTCTGTGTTGCATTCATTTATTTGAAACCAACACTGATATTGTTCCGATTTAATACACAAACATGAAATTGCAGATTAATTCCACTTCACCATATATATTTTATGGTATTATTTGTGTGTGTTGTATTGAATGCAACATACTATTCAACAATTGAGATGGAGACTAAGATAAATAGGAATTATTGGGAGACCCCATTCATTTGAAATCTGGTAAATTTATTTTTGAAAAAGGGATAAAAGTAGTTTTAGGTACGGCAGCTGACTGTCATTTCCCCTGTTAATTTTTGTGATTTTTACGGGCTCATATTCTTATTTTAAAAGTTTTTTTTCTTTCTGGTTGGTGCATGAAAGATGCACAGGCCCATACAAAGGAACCAGTCAAACAAAGTATCCATAAAGTGCTGTCAAACACATACAATAAGTGAACTGAATAAATAAAGACACGTTTTTCCTGATTTTTATTATAACAATTTTAAGAATTACTTTTATTTCAAATGTATGGATTTCTTTCCTGATCCAGCAAACAAATGGGAGGACCTCAGTCCACAGAAGATCCCAGTCCTTAGGCTAGGGCTGGAAAGATCCAGGTTTGCCAGAATCCATTTATAGTTGAGATTAATTTTCATAATCTTATTAGCGTGCATGTATGTTCTTTTGTTGTTGTTGTTGTTGTTGTTAGTGGTTTCTTTGTAATACATTTTACCTTAAGATGTAGGCTTTATTTAAATCTGTGTGTTAACTTATATCTGTAGCAGTTATACTTTTTAATTCAACTCTCTAAAAAAACAAGTGTAAAAGCACTTGTCTGTGCTGGGAAATACACAGTGGAGGCAAAGAAAGAAACATGTATTTCCACTCAGAAAGGCAATGTCAGGGGAGCTGGACACTCTGAGAGTGAGTGCCATTGTGATATTAGAGGGGAAATACAGGTGCAGTTACTCTGACTGTCACAAATGTTATTCCCTACAAAAAGCTTTAGACCAGCAAAGCTGAGTGGAAGAACATTTGAACTGCTCCCCCCTCCTCCAGTATATCTGAGGATTCCAGTTTCCCATTAAAATGTCATCTGGAACCATGGTGCTAAGACTTCCTCACCTGCACTTGGGCCAGATAACTCTTCAGAGTGTTTCCAGGTATGCTGTGGGAATTAGTGAGAATGAATGCCAAAAGTGTCATCATTAACTCCTATGGGTATTTCTCCATTGTTTCACTGGGATAGTGTGCCATTTAAAGTAGCTTTTGTCAGTAATGAGTCCTAGGGTTGCCAACTTTCTAATTCTAGAACACCAAACACCCTTGCCCTGCACCCTCCCGAGTCCCAGTCCCTTTTCACCTCATCCTTCCTTCCCTCCATCACTTGCCCTCTCCCACCCTTGCTCACGTACTCATTTTCACTGTAAGGCCCTCATAGACATATTTATTGCTTGGACAGATGTATTATGCTAAGTTCAGGTTTATTTGTTAGAGGACACTAGTGCTGGCAGCAAAATAGTCAAAAAGGGTAATTCAAAAAAAAAAAAAAAAAAGAAATTTCACAAAGGTTTTCATGATTCTTTCCCTTCCCTCTTCCCATTTTTTGTAACCAGCTCCATGGTTTTTGTTCACTAAAGTTATGTAATTTTGTGTATGTAATTAGGATCACTCTTTCTCACAGCAAATCCAGAGCAAAGAGAGCAGAAACATGGAAGTGCAAACTGTCCAAATACCTATATAATTAAATTTGTAGAAACTGATTCCCTACCTTCATGCAGATATGCGCATGGTCCAAATACCTATATAATTAAATCTGTAGAAACTGATTCCCTGCCTTCATGCAGATATGCGCATATATTCATAACTTCTGCATTATTTATTATTACAATTGTTGTTCAGTGCCTAGATACCCAACTAAGGGCAGGGTCTGAGGTAGCAGGTGCTGGATATGCACATAAGAAGAAAGAATCTGCAACACAGAGTTTATAACTAGTCTGTAGCTAGACAAAGGTGGTGAGAAATGCATGATAAATTGTCTCTTCTGCAATTGCTAGTCAACAACATTCACTTTTCAAGAATTATATTTTAGTGTTCCTTTATGAAATGAATACACACACATTTTGTCATCCATGCTTTTGCACACAAGCCAGCAAAAGGAAAAAGTCAGAGTTAGGCTGCAAATTTTATTCACATGCACACGCGCGTGTCCGCACTCATGCATCAATACATGCACCTCCCTATACAAAGATACACAGGGTATGTATACACTGCAGAGTTTTTTCCGGAAAAAAAATTAATTTTTCTGGAAAAGCTACACTTACGTCCACACTGCAATTGCGTTCTTCGACAGAAAGTCGAAAGAACATAGGGTTTTTTCCGACAGGGTAAACCTTTTTCTACGAGGAAGAAGCCTTTTTCTGAAAGAGCTCTTTCAGAAAAAGGCATGTGTGGATGGGGAAGAGGATTTTTTTTTCGAAAGAAGAGGCCCCTTGGAAAAAAGCACAGGTGCCCTGGTGGCCACTCCATCCATAGTAATCACAACTTAAATGTAAGAGAGCGTCCAATCAATGTGGATGCTATTGTTCAAAAAAGCAGATCTCTTCTGGAAAAGCTTCTTCTGAAAGAAGCCTTCAGTCTAGACATAGCTACAGTCTTTAACACTCACATAATGCATGCATGCACACACCTGCCTACATAGAGACACTTTTTCATACAGTTTTCCAGGGGTGGTTATTACGCATCTAGGTTCTTTTGCTGGTTTTAATGTGGGGGAGGAGGGGCACAGGCGGGGAGAGTTGGTAATGCTTTTTACCTTAAGAATGAAGTAGGTTTACGTAGAAATCTGTGTGGTAACAGGCAGTTACACTTGTTATCCATCTCTTAAAAAAAAAAAGTGCCCCTTAATCACCCAGATGGGAGCAGGATGGGCTGGAGGGGAAAAGATGGGGGGAGGCAGGAGAGCAGATGAAAGAAGCCAAGGATGGAAGCAAGATGAGGGTGAGAGGGGGCAGTGAAGGAGAGAGGAGGGAGTGTATATGGATGGATAGTCATGCAGGGGAATGCTGAAGGCTATAGGTTCATGAAGAGATAGGGCCACAGGGTGGATAAGGACACTATGGGAGTTCAGCAGTGAATGGAGGTGACTGGGATGCAAGAGTTTGGGGGATGAGGGATATGGGGATCATGGCTCTGGAAAGTGGAGAAGATGGGTGGGAGAGAACTGAAAGGGGTACAGGGTTGGGATGAGTAGGTGTGAGGGACAGGATGGGATGGAGGTAGGATGCAGTGAGGGGGATTAGGGGTGAGATGGGATGGGGGAAGGATGCAATGAAGAGTATGGAGGCAGAGGGTAAGATGGGGAGGGATTCAATTACAGGGGATGTCTTGTGGGTCACACATGGCAGGAGACCAGGATGCTTTCGCTTCTCCCAAATCAGTCAGGGCTCCCAGGCAGAGCAGGCAGGTTGTTTGCAAGGCCAGACCAGCAGTGCTGGACTCCACTTCCCACAGCACCCTCAATCTGCATGCCCACCTCACCCAGCTGCCTCCTGCTCTCTCACCTGTAAACACTCTCCCTGTACTCAATGCCCAGTGTTCCCCTTTCCCTTTTCCCCTCCAAATGCTCCCCTTTCCAGTGCTTTTCTCTGTGCCATCTGCACCCCTTCAGCCTACCCTTCCAAACACTCCCCTTGCCCTACACAGCACCCCCCATCCACACTCCCTTTCTGTGCCCCCTCTCCCTACCCCATCTGTGCAATAGAGGAGGCAGGAGCTTCTTCTGTCTCAGATGGAGAGCAGGGGAGGTCAGGAACAGCCAGGAGCCATGTGGCACAGCATGATGACTAGCAGGAAGCCCATCGCACAGCGCCATCAACTGGACAATCAAGCCACCAGGATCCCTGTTTGACTGGCTGTTGCGGTCCAAAACCTGATACCTGGGCACCTTAATGGTACCTTCTCTCAAATCTATGGTACCTCCCTTGCAGAGGGTTTAAAGGATAGTGTTGTCTGTTGCTGCTCAGAGGCAATTCCTAATCAATTTATAGTCATTTGAAGAGGTTTTCCATTCTTCTCTTCCCTCTTTTTCTTTCTCTTCTATTGCAGATATTACAAGGACCTATTTGTTAAAACCAAATCCAGAACAGCTTCTCCTCTGGTAGCTTTTTCAACCTTCTGAAACAGAAAGTTGTCTCCAATGCAGTCCGGAAACTTATTAGATAGCCATGTAAAAATAAAATTATTTAAAGCTTCAAAAGCTGCTGTAAAGAGTTTCACCTCAGCAGAGTTAAGTCTGATTTGCTACTGCAAGTGGGTCCTCAAACCGAATGTTGAAACCTCAAAAAAGTTGTAGTTTGAGGGGAGACAAACAGTAAAATTCTACAGTTTGTCCTGCAAGTTCACAGCACTTTTCAATTGAGCACATTGTATTATTTTTGAAGCTGTTTGGCTGTCTTCTTCCCTACTTATTCTTCTTGTATATATTTGTATAACTTTGCTGTTTCTACTATTTCTTTCATACAAAGAGACACTATTGCACTGTGGTGTGAACTTGCAGAAAAATCTAGAACCAATAAAAATAGAGTTGGAACTTTTAAATATCTCTTTATGGCCAAACATAAAAACAAGTTGGAAATGAGGAGCGTTAACACCATGTTATCAGCCTGCTGTCTACAAATCAGTAGAAAGCGTTTAATCGATAAGAGTTTTGAGAGCTGCAACTTTACATCAAGTATTGCAGAACAAAGTCCTGAAGGGTTGAGAGTGGGCATAGTCCTACCAGATGATCTTTGTGACCAATTATGTAGCAGTGAAGGACTACAGACAGACTCAACTGATGATAAACTCCTGGAAGGGGTGCATCAGAATTTTCTCACGTGTGCCATACCTCACAAGGTTAGCCAGTCTGTGTCCATTTCTGTACCAGCTATTGTTCTATTTGAGAAGATGAGAAAAAACTGTTCCTAGAATGGATGTTTTAAAGGTGACTTATAAAGAGGAAAAGAATGTGGACTTCCTATTTCTTTATTATGTAAAAATAAAGGCCTTAAGGAATTTTGAGGAAAAGAATGTGGACTTCCTATTTCTTTATGATGCAAAAAGAAAGGCCTTAAGGAATTTTGTTTTTTTTAAGGGGTATTATTAAAGACCACTTTATAACCCCAATAGTTCAAGCATTGAGTTTCCCCTTTTTGTTGGAGAACTTGAGAAACAGTGGTGATCTGACTTTGAAACCTGAACAGAAGAGGAAAAAAGCCTTAGATTTTGTCTACATGTCAGAGTTTTACCAGTTACACAGGTGTAATGATCACAGTATAATCACTCTTGTGGACACTTACTCCACTATCAGAGTACATTTTTTTCTGCTTAACTTAAACTCCCTTCCCAAGCAACATAACTGTAATATAAATAATAATAATATGGGTTTAAATTCACCCCTTATCTTATGTTAGTGTAATCTTCATGTGAAGACAAGCACTTAGTAAAACTGTTTTAAAATGCTTTTTGTTGTTGTTGTTTTTAAACACCTCTTTAATTGAAACATCTGTCAAATGGTTGAAAGAAATGCTCTTTTGTAAAAGGTTCAACAACGCTGTTCTTTCACTTAAGGGCTGAGATGAGAAATCTACCAATCTCTTTGAGTTCTTCAGGGGAGAAGAAATTTGACACTCCTGATATTTCTAAAGTAAAAAACAAGCAGGAAAAACATAAAAGAAATTTTTAAAGCCTTATCCATACATCATAGAGCAAAAAAGGTCACAAACACATTCTCTTCCTCCCCCCTTAGGTCACCCTTAAAGCCAGGAAATTTGGCTGATTATCTTCATTAATTTATCTTATTAAACTGTTGTACCATGTATGGAATACTTGGGGGGAGGGGAGAGATGTATTCTGTGATTTCCCACCATCACAGATTTTCCCACAAAGTTGTACTTGATAATATTATCTTTCATTTTAAAAAAATCTAGTCCATAAGGTTTAGGGGAGAAAAGTATTTGACCTGATATATACTGTATATATTATTTATAATGGTATCTTTCATTTTAAAAAAATCTAGTCCATAAGGTTTAGGGGAGAAATTTATTTGACCTGATATATACTTTATATATTAATTATAATGATTACTTAAGAATTCCCAGTTATCACTGAGGGTTGGCATGAACCAAGTGTAAACTCATGGAGTATTGCCTACCTGAGTCAGCAGAGAGCCTGAAAAAATAGCCTTCAGCTGCGTGAGCTGTTCCATTCATCTCAATGAGAGTCCTGTGGAATTTGGCTTTTTTCCAAGTTGTCACAGTATTCCACACTTAGACGAAGCCAAGCATCTGATATTTTACTTTTCTGTCACATGGTCTGACTTTCCCCACAAGGAGGGTGGCAATTTGTTTATGTTGCATGCTTCCTGAACTGTTCTGTGAAACCAGACAGCAAGGGATCAGAGCTTACAGTTTAGTTTTTAGTTAGTAAATGAGAGAGAGAGACAGAGAGAGAGAGAGAGAGAGAGAGAGAGTCAGATATTTAGGCTGGTGGGCTGGTCTGCCTGTAGACCACTGTAGCTAAGACTATAAAACAGGGTGATAAGTTTCTGAAACTGGCTATAAATTGCTGTTATGTGGCAGAGAGGATATTTCTGGGACTGGACTCCTAGACAGCACTGCAGGGTTTGAAGCTTGGAGAGTGGTGTTGGGTTATGTGGAAAACTCAAAAACCCATCACCCAAAATAATTGACTAATTTAATGACAGGTGAAAATGGTGTGTGTGCAAGCTCTTGTATGATGGGAGGGATGAGAATGAAACATATTTCATGGCTATAGAAGCATTGATGTTGCTATAGAATGTTCTGCTGCTGTGGAATTTAGGGGTGTTTGCCATGTGACCTGAGCTGTGGAATACAAAAGGTACTGAATGCTGAATACTGTTGTTTTCTCCAGTACATGGTTTAAGCACAGCTGGATAATTTAAAGATGGAATGTCTTTTTTAAAATCTAAATAAAAATTTAATCTTATCATATATGGCCAGATTCTGCTACCCTTACTTATAACGATAAATACTGCATTGCACAAGTCAATGGGCTAGCTTGTGCAGTTCTTGTATATTCTAGAAAAGACAGCGCTAAGGCTCTGGGTTGGGAATCAGGAGATTTGGTTTCCGTTCCTAGTTCTGCTACTGACTTGCTCTGGGTCTCTAAGCAGTCACTTTTCTCTGTCCCTGTATTTCACCATCACCCTCTGTCTTCGTTATTTGATTTATAAATGCAGAGATGATCTCTTAGGCCAGTTGGACCTTGATTTTAGTTGAGGTGCCCTCCAGGTGTTTCAGTAATACAAATGATAGAGCAAAGATAGGATTATTTAGTCCATAATTTATTTTCAGTGTTACTTTTTTCTTAATATTGAAGAAGTGACCAAAAGAGACTGTGATACCTGTAGCCTTAGAGTAGAATTACACCCTGGGCTATGCTCACCAGTTCCCATTGATCTAACTGAAAAAAATTGTGTTTATCATAGTGCTGAATTTGTCCTTAGGCTGATAACATTCTCATCAGCCTCAAGAAACAGAGGGTAAAACAATTTGCACTCAAATGCTACTTGTGTAAGGCCTAGTTTTAACAAAAAGTGTGACTGAGAGGAAAAAAAAGGGACTAAGAAATAAAAATGAAAAGTTAGTGTGTCCAAGAGTGAAGTACTTCTTAAAGCCCTATTTTGTACTTCCTGGAGTGATTAAAAGAGGAAGGTTACTTTTGCAGAGGGGTTGTGGGCAATATTCTGACTTTGTGTATGTGTGAGTGTTCCATTGACTGCAGCTGATGCCTCTTGCGAGTATCCAAAGCCAGGCTTTATGTAATGCTTCACAGTGGTACTTATCCTTCAATTTTTTTGTTAGAAAAAGCTAAACTAGCGTTTTAAAATTGTCAAAAGTTAGACAGGTTGTTCTTGAAAATGTAATTTTATTGGAAGTTGTGGCTGGTCTAATGGAAAGGTTTAAAATACAAGACACTGTGGCTACCTCTAGATTGCAAGCCTCTTTCGAAAGAGGCTTTTTCGAAAGATGCTTTCGAAAAACAGCATCTAGACTACAACTAGTACTTTCGAAAAAGCTGTCTGGATGCTCTCTTTTGAAAAAGCACAGTTTGCATTACATAGCGCCTTTTTTTTGAAAGAATACTTTCGAAAAAAGGTGTTACTCCTTGTAAAATGAGGTTTTCCGTGGTCGAAAAAACTGCTGCATTCTTTCGATTTACTTTCAAAAGAACGTGGCAGCAGTCTATAATCAGGGGAAGTTTTTTCAGAAAAAGGCCACTTTTTTTGTAAAAACCCTGTAGTCTAGACACACCCTGTCTGTGGCCTGACTTTGTTTCATCCTGGAAAAGTTGATGGGATCTAATTTTTTTTCCAGACATTCTGAGCAACTGTAGCTTCTGTTGACTGTAGTGAGTGTTGCAGATGCTTTGCATCTCTGCAAATCATGTTCTTTTACCTTTTTATTCCTTTATGTCTCCCTAGTTTCAGGGTTTCATAAAAACATATAACATATAGTGGATATATCAGCTTTAAGATTTGTAATTGAAACATTATGTAGGAATGCACAGACATATAATAAAAATTGTGTTGTTTCCTTTTGGACTGGAATTCAAGAACATTTAAGAGTTTTCAGACCTTTCCAAGCATAACAACGTCATGTGATTTTTGGCTCAGCAAAGGTTTGTTGAGTAAGTGATGTATTACTACATTACAAAATACATGCTTGGTCAGAAGACACCAAAATAATTCTGAAAAAGTGCAATCCACTTACATTTTCCAAAACGTATAAAATGATCCCTATGCAGTGTAAAAGTTTGGTGAGCTGACTGAATGACTTATAGGCCTAATAATCACTAAGCTATTATAAAACTGGATATTGCGTTCATTAGTTGGATGATAATAGCAAGTATTAACTGGAGATTGCAACTTGGTTGTACAACAGAGCTTGTACAAGCCAGTTCTATTTGACATGAAACTATAGATGTAAGCCTTTCGGGAGTACAAGACTGTTGCTCAATATTCTTGCTTGTCACTGTAGCCCTAACTAATTTTAATACCTCTATTTCATTTTAAGCAGTTCTCTCTCTCTCTCTCTCTCTCTCTCTCTCTGACTTTAAGGGCTTTATTTTCATTCTGTAATTTTTCTTCAGGCAGTCACAAGGACAAAGATAAACCTCCAAGCCTCTCAGTTGTCCTTGAGACTTTGAGGAGTACCTTGACAGATTACCAGAACAAGCTGGAAGATGCATCTAATGAGGTAACATTTGCACTGTTTGGCTTCACACATATAGCCTTCGGCCTGCAACAGTACATATACTTCACTTGTTACAAAGGTCAAAAGATTGAGAATGTTGAGTTGACAGCTACACAAATACTAAAAAGAAATAATGTCCGTCACTACTTTTTCTCTAAGCTTGCCCTACGGTAATGTTCCACTTAAATATATAAAAAATAGTTTATAGTTTTTTATTTTAAGTGTTGAACTTCTGATTTTTGTCCGTAAATATACACAGAAATATGATACACGTCAACCTCCATCAAGGTGTTAAAAGATGACATAAGTATTTTAAAATGCAATGTAGTACTTGAATTTTAGCATGCATTGGTATCAGGTGTGTAAATGTGAATGCCCTAAAAAAAAAGTGACATTATTTTCAGAGCTCAGTTCTGTTTGGGTGTGTTTACACTTGCACCCTCTTTCGAGAGAGGGATGCAAATGAAGACATTCGAAATTGGAAATTAAGCTGAGATTTAAATATCACGCGCTTCATTTGCATATTTGCATTATGGCGCTATTTCAAAATAATAGACACTATTAAGACGCGATTATTTAGAGAGAAAACCCTTCTCTCGAAATAACTGGTAAACCTCATTGTATGAGGAATAAGGGTTATTTTGGGAGAAGGGTTTTCTCTCTAAATAATCGCGTCTTAATAGTGTCTATTATTTTGAAATAGCGCCATAATGCAAATATGCAAATGAAGCGCGTGATATTTAAATCTCAGCTTAATTTCCAATTTCGAATGTCTTCATTTGCATCCCTCTCTCAAAAGAGGGTGCAAGTGTAGACATACCCTTATTGATGAAAATTGGTAAACTTCATAGTCTGCGTTTTTTGTCATACAGAGGAAGTGATATCTTCATTATCGTTTCAAAATGTAACAAAGAACAATAACAAACATTTCTATTTAAACAAGTGCATCTTTTTACATGCAGTTCTACGGGTTTTGGTCACTGGCTGAGAAGTATTTATTTTTATTTATAGTGCTAATGTGATTTGGTTAATCCTCTTGGGTTTAAAATGTTATATGAATTTGTAGCTTTAAAAACTGTAGACAGAAGTTAACTATATCTTGTCAAAGTCCTTTAATTGTACATAAAATTGGCAAAGCACTGATAAGTGTTGGTATTTTATTTTTTCCTTTCCTAAGTTTTGTCTTGTGTTTATTTTGTCTTATTATTTATTCAGTCACAATTTATTTCAAATTTAATGAGTATTAATTTTGCTTTTTTATTGTGGAAGAATAGACTTATTCAAGTCCTCTGAGATTTGTTGAAGAGGAATAGAAATAAGTGACCACAGAAATAATTGTACTTCTGTAAACAGCAAGCACTATTATAAGTCTCTGCAGTGAGATAAGATAACCGATGTGTTTAGTAGTTATGAATCTCTTCTGAAGCCCAGGTTTGGAAGCTGAAGAGTCACTAGAAACATATTACGCACAGTGAATTGTTATTTGGGAGGATGAATGTCACATGATCCTCAGCACAGTTGAAAAGTCGACTCAGCAGGCTTTGGCTTAGTAATGTGCTTTGTTGTGAAACAGTGCCAGACAGAGCAGTGGGGAGGCCAAGGGGGTGGCTGCTAAGAAAGCAAAGAGAGTACTCTGACAGAAAGAAGAATGAACTGTCAAGGAAAATAAATCGCAAGCTGATGACCTGCCACAAGACTTCCCAGTAGGACTGCATGTGACAGACCCTGAAGTTGTCATGCGGAGCGAGAGACCATTGAATGCCCTCGTGGTACACAGAAAGGGCACTGTTCTCTCCTTTTTGATTTTCCCCATAGATACTGTTGCTTCTGGCTTCTTATGCATTTTGTCCTTAAATGTGTTTTGTAATAAATCTCTTTTTAATATTGCAATAAAACTCGCAGGGATTAACAAAGGTATCATCCAATAATGCTTTTACATGCAGCACTAAGGTTTTGGGCTTATTTAATTCTGTTAAGTTTTTTAGGATATAGCTTATGACAGAACCACATACACAGATGGATGTAACTAAGTATTTGTCTTTACATCTATGGTTGGATCTGTTTGGTGAACTGGTGACATTTTATTAGCTCTAATTAGCTAAATAAACATGAGTTCATAATTCCATTTCTGTATTGTCAGTGCACATTAAAATTTGAGTATATACTTTTACATATCTTCATGAGTTAGGTGGTTGAGTAGCTGATACACAATGTGGAAAACACAGAAATAATTTCAGTAAATTGGAGAAAGCAACTAACATAGTTGGCAAGGATTGAGGGAGTGCAGATGCTACTTGTGAATTGTGAATACAATATAGAGATATTATAAAACTTTGAGGAACTCTTGAATGTTTCAGGAAGCAGCAGTGATCAAGATTGCTATATTCTGCTTATGTCTGATTAGAGGAGCCTGGTATTTTCTTTCGCATACAGACTTAGCTACTATTATTTGTGTCTTTTGACACTCAGGATTAGATTACTGATAGACTGTTCTGTCAGTCTTTACTCTGAAACTGGAAAGTTGAAGCTAGCACATATTGTGGCCACCTGTTTATCAAAAAGACATCTGGAAGAGGGCATATAACTCTAGTGCTCCAGGATCTTCAGTGGCTGCTTGTAATGCTCTGAATGGTTTGGGAGTATAGATGACTGGAGAGACTATGCTTTGAGTAATTCTGGTGCTGCAATCAGCAGAAATTCATGAGTTGGAATCTCCTCAGTTTTAAAAGGAAGGATGCTGCTTGTAGGGCATTTACTGGGATGGCGTCCGTTGACTTTGAAACTTGCTTCTTGAAAATCGCTGGGATCTAGATTTGTTAAATTTTCTGGTACAGTGCCTTTTCCCAGATAGTTTAGAATTCATGGGGCCAAAGCAATAGTGAATTTGGTTTAGGATTATTGCTGCTATTATTTATTTGTAATATCATTATTAATATTAAATCATATTTATTTAATGGGAAATATGCTAAATTGTTTACAGATAATATCTGAGGAATTTTTAAATACGTACTGATTTAACATTGGTATAGAAAATATTAAGCTACATTTAAGTCTCTACATAACCTCTCGAGCCTTCAACTGTTTTTCTCTTTTCCCAGATAAAGAAAGTGAAAGCTTCCTGTGAGAAGATGACAAAAGAGATTGACTCATCCAAACAAAAAATACAGTCTCAAAGTCAAGACCTTATGGTATATTTTTTATCAACCATAACTTCTTAACATAGTGCATTTATTTCTGGTATGTCTCACTTAGCTTGTATCTGCGTGATACTACATGATATCCAAATAAGTGCTTGAATGTGAACAAGAAATTTGCCCTCAAAAATATTTTTTACTCAGCTGTTTGATAATTTTTTATATTTGTTACTTCATTACTCAATCACTTATTTATGAAAATAAAATTCAGTAAATACTCACTTTTCTTTTCTCTTTCGTGTATTTGTCAGATTATTTGTCTCAGCATGAAGTTTTCTAGAATTACTCAGAAAAATGCAGTGTTTGAGCCACATGTTAAAAAGTTACAAGACAGACAGGAGTGAGAATGAATTAATCACACAGCCTCTTTGGGGGAGATATAAAGAGATTAGTAGACAGCTGAGGATGGACCTCTGTTCATCTTAGTGGCTATGGGAAATTTGATCACATACATTTGGAAGATTTCAGTTAAAGAACTGTAAAGGTTAAAGTCATAGGATGAAATGGCAAAACTTACAGTAAAGAAGGATATCCATAAATTATTATGGACGTTATGGCCACATTCTGTGTATAATTCCACCAAACATTAGGTAATTCCTGATAATTGGAGAGAGCTATAGGCCTAAATTACTTCTAGTAAAAATTGCTGATCCTTTTAAGCCGAGCACTTGTCATGGGTTGTTGGGGTTCTGATTTTATAGTCTTTTTCAAAATAGAATGTGTTTTTGTCCCTCTTTGCAGGGGCTGACACATCACTTTCATAATGTGTCATGTCTGGATACATCAGTGTCCAAGGGACTGAAGAAGTCCTGAGGTCACTGTTAAACTCTATCTTCCAGCTGGTAGAGTTTTGTATTACTGCCAAAATTAAGTGTGGCCACTTCCAAGGTTTCTCAAATTCTTATACTTGAGATACACTATTTCATTGTTTCAGTTTATTATTCAGAGTCTCTGTAGCATTCATTGGTGATAACACAGTGGCTTTCCATCTTATGAACTGAAACTTGTCTAATTTTAATTAATATAATTTCAGAAACCCCCCCTCCCCTGTGAGGTAAAGTACTGCTTTATTGATTTGTGTAGAAGAGGATTCTAATGAACAATAAGATTCAATGATGTGTTGACTGCACCTGAGAGGATCAGGTGACTTGCCCTGTGACACACAGGAAATTGGTGACAGACCTAACAGTAGAGTCCTGATCTGCCTCTCAAATGCTTTGTCCACAGGACTTTTTTTTCCCCCCAAACATCCTAAAAACTACAGATTTTTGTAATGCAAATTCTACTCTATATGACAGAGCTATTCTACCAACTCTTTTTCCTCTTGGTGTAAAAGTCTGCTCCAATTTAGTATTGGTTCCATTTCTGATGGTGATTTCTGTGATATGGGCACCTGACTACTGTAAATTGGACTGAAAACCACCAAGTCATTTCACATTGACAGCTATACATGAAACAAGATGACAACAGCCATTGGTTGCTACTAGTCATTGAAAACAGTTATCTACAGAAGAAAAGAATTGTATCCTTTCCCCAGGGCTATACAGTTTCTTATGTCAAAAAGGAAGCTGTATTTTTTGCATTCTGTCTAGATTTTCAGCTGAAGGAATGCTCTGTAAAGAGACAAACCCAGCCCCAAAAAGCAAGGAAGTCAAATTGTAGAGACTTTGGTTTGGCAGAAACATTAAAAAAGGAGAAAAGGGAATAATTTTGTTGGACTCGTCCTTTGCTTCACTCTATTTTCTTACTCCCAGAGTAAAACAGACTGAATTTAAAATTTGACACTATCATTAGAAGTAAGCAGATAGCTTATTTTAGGTTGTTTTGAAAATATATTTTCATATAGACCTTTACTTCCAAGGATACCTAACATTGGCTATGATAATGCTCTATGTGATAAAGCTGTTACCAACCTTTCTGTTTGTGTCTTTTTTTCTATAGGAAGCTCAGGATAGGCTGGTTGATGTCAATGAAGAGTTAAATCATCTGCGCACTAAGTGTGCAGACAGAGAAGCTTTAATAGGCACTTTAAAAATGGAACTGCAGAATGTACTGCACTGCTGGGAGAAAGAGAAAATACGAGCCACAGACTCAGAAAATGAAATCCGGAAGCTTACCAGGGCTTACCAGAAGGATACTGAGGTATTACCAGAGACAAGACAACTGTCAAAAAGAGCCTTTTATTTAATCTTAGCTTTACATACATTGAATGGTTGCATTAAATCTTAACAGATTTATCTGCAAAATATAATTTTAAGATATGTTTTAAAATGCATATTTAGTGTCTACTAAATTTTCAAGTGTCTTAATTCTTTTTCATAAAATGGGATTTTTTTTTTAAGTGTCTTAATTCTTTTTCATAAAATGAATAATCAATTTAACTCTTCCGGTCATTTACATTTTAAAACGTGTAGCAAGCATTGTTTCAGGCAAATGAATTCGTTTAAAGAATCATGCCTGGGATTTTTTTTTAAATTTTTTGTATATGGAATCTCATGGTGTAAATTACTGATTCAAATAGCAATCTGACTCAGCCCATACCCTTGACTCCACAAATAGCAAATGTAGAATTAAGGTCATTTTGCTTGCCCACTACCAAATTAGTGTTTCCTGTGCTTCTTTGGAGAGACTGCACCTCTCCCTTTCAGTTTGGGTATATGTGCGCCCATGCACCTGCCCTGAAAACTATTCAAAGGGAACCGGTGCCAGGCTATTTTTTGGACTCTGGTATATACATTTTGTGCCAGCTTCAAAAATTCTGTGTTGGTGAATGACTTTCACTTCACTTTCACTTTTCCCTGGGTAAGAGCCATATTTGAAACCGTTGGAAGATCTGCAGGAACTTCAAATTGAAGAAAAAATTATAAAGAGATGAGACTGAATTAACTCCTTATGGAGGCCATCTGCATCCACCTTCTGAAAATTCCTGCTTGGGGCAGTCACTGAATGCTGCTGCCTCAATCAGGAGTGCCCTTCTGGACATTTTATGAGAAAGTTGACACCATTTCCTGTCACTGGTGCTGAAAAAGAAGCACACATCATCAGAACAGCATTCTTTAAAGGAGCCAGAAGTTCAAGATTCTCTATAATGTCCACTAATAAAAAATCTGGAAATAGGGCTCTTCTAATTAAAAACTGTCAATTCAAACTCATCACCATAGACTTGTCAACCTTGACTGCACTTCTGACTCCTTTGATCCAATAACAGAAACATCATGGAAATATTTTGGTATTGATGGGACTGGAATTATATAACACCATGGGACCTGCTCTTCCTCTTGATGCTGGATTCCCCTGTAGTACAGAAGAGAAAACAGTACTAACGGATCCTCAGGCCCTGTTTGTTAACTTCCCTTTGAGACTAGTTGTGTCCTTGATGCCATGGCTACCAAGGCTATGTCTTTAGACTATCCAATACTTCCTCACCCAGTATAGTTCAGAGCTAAAGGTCCTTTTGTGGATTGGTAAATGGTTAAAAGACAGGAATCAAAGGGTAGGAACAAATGGTCAGTTTTCAGAATGGATAGAGGTAACGAGTGGTATCCCCCAAGCGTCCATACTGGGGCCAGTCCTATTCAACCTATTTACAAATGACCTGGGGAAAGGGGTAAACAGTGAGGTGGCAAAATTTGCAGATGATACTAAACTGCTCAAGATAGTCAAGAACAAAGCAGACTGTGAAGAGCTTCAAAAGGGTCTCATAAAACTAAGTGATTGGGCAACAAAATGGCAAATGAATTTTAATGTTGGTAAATGCAAAGTAACACACATTGGAAAAAATAATTCCAACTACACATGCAATATGATGGGAACTAATTTATCTATAACTACTCAGGAGAGAGATCTTGGAGTCGTTGTGGATAGTTCTCTGAAAACAGTCACTCAAACAATGTTAGGAATTATTAAAAAAGGATAGAGAATAAGACAGAGAATATTTTATTGCCTCTATATAAATCCATCGTACACCCACATTTTGAATACCGTGTATAGGTGTGGTTGCCTCATCTCAAAAAAGATATATTGGCATTGGAAAAGGTTTGGAAAAGGGCAACAAAAATGATTATGGGTTTGGAACAGGTGCCATATGAAGAGAGAGAAAAAAGACTGGGACTTTTCATCTTAGAAAAGAGGAGACTAAGAGGGGATATGATAAAGATCTGTAAAATAGTGACTGGTGTGGAAAAAAGTGAATAAGGAAAAGTTATTTACTTGTTCCCATAACATACGTACTAGGGGTCACCAAATGAAATTAATGGGTAGCAGGTTTAAAACAAACAAAAGGAAGTTTTACTTTACACAGCGCATAGTCAGCCCGGGGACCTTCTTGCCAGAGGATGTTGTAAAGACCAGAAATTTAACAGGCTTCAAAAAATAACTAGATAAATTCATGGAGGTTAGGTCCATCAATACTTATTAGCCCGAATGGATAGGAATGGTGTCCCTAGACTCTGTTTGTCAGGGGCTGGAAATGGATGACAGGAGAGGGGTCACTTGGTGATTACCTGTTTCTGGTCACTCCCTCTGGGACATCTGGCACTGGCCGCTATTGGAAGACAGGATACTAGGCTAGACGGACCTTTGGTCTGACCCAATATGGCTGTTCTTATGTTCATCATGTTGTTTCTGGTACTGACACCTGTGGAGTCATATCACCACACTTTGGTACCACCTAGTTATAAAATCTCCATGGGTAGATGACCGACAGTCATCCTCTGGATCTGAATTCCTATGGCCCTCGTTGTCATATCCTTGGGTTTATCATGACTGGGGTTCTGTACCTGTTCTGTGCCTTGCCTCCCACCAACAGATCTTCCTAAGTTCTTTCTTCATATAGATTCCCCACTCAGACACGAGGTTAGTTTCCATGAAGAGGCTTATGATGTTATTCTCAGTATACCAAGCCTCAAGACAGCCTCAGATTTCAGAACCTCAGTCCAGCTGGATCAAACTCAGTCTTCTTTGTGCTTCTCCTCATCACCTGACAATGATGTGCTGTCTGGGGTTTCTTCTGCTGGTTCAGGATCATTACAGGGCCTACCAGGGATTACTAAAGAGAATATCTCCCTTGATATTCAGGAGAGTTCCCATAAGCTGGTGGACATACTGGGACATACAGGACCATCTAGAGTGGCTCTATCTATGAACGGAGCCATTGTACAATCCACAAAATATTTGTGGCAAATGCCACATAATGTCCTTACTCAAGTTTTGAGTAGCTATGTTCTTAACCAGAAGGTCCAGCCTCTCTTTGATTTGGAATCTATAGAAGAGGTTCCCCCCTCTCCATGCAAGCAAAGGCTTCTGTTCATATTACGTCCTGAGTAGAACTCAGTCTTGAAAGGATCCATTCCCTCTTCTGTGTACTGAGTTTACTGTTCAACAAGGACAAGTCCTTTTACCTCCCAGTGTAGAGCAATCCTGGATTCCAGAGTAAGTGTGGCTGTTCCAACTGAAAGCATTTTCACATAATATGAAACTTTTCCACAGGTCCCATATAGTCACAACAATAGGAAACTGCCTCACACTACTGTGACACATGTTTATCTGTACATATGTGTTGCAGCATGCCAGACGTTTCAGAAGTATGCAGGTCTGGTTGAAGTCAGTGTACTTTCTGGCTCTTCACTTGTTAGACATGCTGATTTGAGTACCTGCAGGAATACAAGCTCATGGGTTTGGCACATAGGTCCAGGTAACGTGTATATGGAAGCCCTCTTTGTCCCTACATAACCCACAGATGTTTCTCCTTTAAGCTGGGGAGCTCACTTTGGAAACTTATAAAACCAAGGTCTGTGGCCTCATCAACCCTAAGTTGGCCACATAAGCATTCAGGCATCATGGGAATTTATTTGGTATGTTGGGCTTTTCTTCCTTATGTCAAGGGAGAGACCCAAGTCCTCAAGGACATTACTGTGGCAATGCACTGTGCAAGGCAGAGCAGTCCATCTCTAGCAAGAGACCATACATCTTAGGGAATTTTATGCCACAGAGCAATACATCTCTAAGTTTCCCATCTTGCTGGTGTTCAGAACAGTCTGGTAGATCTCCTGACTGTTTCAGTTTGTTCAGCAGAGATCACAAGATCTCTCTCAAGATGGATATTGTCAGATTCATTTTTCAAATGTGTGTGGTGGTGGGGAGGAGAATCCCTCGATAGACCCATTTCTGTTGAGATGATCTACAAAGTACCAACTCTTTTGTTCCAAGGCAAGACATAGGGCAATATGCTGTGTACCTACCCTCCATCCCTTCCCATGGTTGTGATCCAGATCAAGCAGGATCATGCTTGCTTGATCACCTCAGCTTCTTTGCCAGGACTCGTTTGATACTGCCTTCTGATTAACCAGGACCACAATCACCTGCAATATCCCACCTTAGCTGCACTTCATCTTACAGCCTGGATGTTCAGTGGTTAACAAACACCTCAAGAGGTGGAATGTGCAGGAAATTTTCAAAACATAATCCTGAAGAGCAGGGACCATCTACTATGCTTACCCGCTGGAGTGGAAAGCAGTCTCTTTATGGTAAAAAATAGAAGGGTATTTCAGTTGTCCTGGCCTGTATCCAATGTGTTTTGGACTGTTCCACTGAAACAACAAGACCATCAAAGTTTACCTGGTGGCTACCTTTGCTTTCCACCCACCTAAAAAGAGCTGTTCAATATATTTTTTTAATCCAATGTCAGGTATATTCTTAAGGGGTCTGGACAGGTTATATCCCTATGTCATGGATTCTATTCCTCCTTGGGGCTTAAATCTGGTGCTAGCAAGGCAGATGGATCCATCCTTTTGAAGCAATGGCTACCTGTGCTTTATTGCATCTTTCTATCAAAATAGCAATCGTCTCTGCAAGAAGAGTAGCAGACCTACGTGCATCAGTAGGTGGCACTCCTTACACAGCTTTTATGAGGAGAAGCTATGTTAACATCTGCAGCTGAACTTCCTCATTGAAATAGAATCAGAATTCTATCTCAATCAGGTTTGTCTGTCTGCCCCCTCCATCCTCAAAAGACTGAGGAGAAACTCAGTAGTTGCATCTTTCTATCAAAATAGCAATCGTCTCTGCAAGAAGAGTAGCAGACCTACGTGCATCAGTAGGTGGCACTCCTTACACAGCTTTTATGAGGAGAAGCTATGTTAACATCTGCAGCTGAACTTCCTCATTGAAATAGAATCAGAATTCTATCTCAATTAAGTTTGTCTGTCTGCCCTCTCCATCCTCAAAAGACTGAGGAGAAGCTCAGTACGTTAGATGTCAGAAGGCTCTTGGCTTTTTACTTGGACAGGACTAGACCTTTTAGATCATCATTCCAGGTGTTGGTCACAGCTGAAGACAGGATGAAAAGACTTTCACTCTCAATTCAGCGAATTTTGTCTTGTATAGATCTGTTTGTCTTGTTTGGACCTTGCCAATTAATCCTCTCTAAGTAGGGTGGTAGCATGATGTACAAGATTCAAGCATCTTCCACAACTCTTTTGCCACAATCCCTTATAACAGACATGTTATAGCGTTACAACTTACAGTACACCTCTTTACTACTCATTATACTAATCTCAGCATTCTGGAAATAATGCCAAACTTGTACTAGTAGTTCTTCAGTCCTTGTTCAGAAACTCACCCCCAATTTGAACTTGTGAGGACATAGCATGGAATAGACATGTGCAATCCGTTGAAGAAAAATTTTGTTATTCATTTCTTCTGTGACTGTTTTTTGAAATGTGCTGTACACATCCATTCTGTCATTCATCCTTCTTTCCCTTTATGGGAGTTTCTATGTGGTCAGAATGAATTGAGGAGGATTGGGAGTGGGCTTGCCCGTATTTTTACCATTATGTGGCAGCATGAAAGTGCTAAGTGCTCATGTATCACTAAGGGGGAAATCTCTGATTCCGGTTCACTGGGCACACCCACATTTGAAGTGGAATGGGCACAAACAATGTATCTTGATGAACAACAGTAAGAGAACAGGTTAGTAGCTGCTATTTCTTTGTGTATTAGCTGATTGTGGTATGCTATATGTGGTAATTGCTTCATGAAGTTTTACTTCAAAACCAGATTTTCTCATAAGGTTGTTTACTGATCTTAATAATTGTCTCCTTTTAATTTTCTCCACATAAAGTAGTTCTGCATTAGCTATATCAATCACACTCTTTATCTCAATTGTTCTGCATATTGAGCTCATTACTCCGGCAAATACGAACACAAATGCCAAATTGAATAAAAAGGAAACATTCTTTCCACCCTTCTTACAGTCATGCAATTTAAATCCCAGAAGCAGTTGGAATTGTTCTACACATCAGATAATGATTAAAGGAAAGGAAACTAGAAGCCTGACTGTATTGTAAAGTCAGCATGTCTACATCATTGTGGTTGAGTTCAACATGTGTGAGTTGATTCTGAGTCTTGGGATTTCTTTTTCTCTCCAAAGGGATGATTATCATGCTTGGTTTATCAGAGCCCAGGCAAAAAGGAAATAATGGCGACATGGTTAAACTATTCCTAGGGAATTAGAAGATTAGCTGGTAACATTTTAAAAATGTTTTATTGCTTAACATTTATGAATTGCAAACAGAAATGTACCCAAATATAGTTGGAGAAGACACATTAGTAATTGCTGTTGCACTGGGAGTGAGGCAGAGGAGAGAGTGTCCTTAGTACCTTTATGAAATGTCAGTGTTGGATCCATTGTCCTTTGCTTTCAGTGAGCATTGTTCTATTGGCTAAATGGGCTTTGGATCAGAGCCCTCGTTGTGGTTTTGGTACTGTCTTTGATTTGTCTTAATTTTAAATTGCTAGATTAATAGATCAACTAAATAGATGCACAAACAGATTCTGATCTCACCCTGGTGTGAATAAGTACCAACACTACTGAATTCAATTCAGTATGCTATAGCATAAAATCCACTGTAAATGAGATGAGGATCAGGCTTGTAGAGTTTAACTGATGCTGATAAAAACCTGTTTTGTACAGTTACATATTCACATATAATCCATGTAAAGAAAAACATCAAATGAAATTATTTGTAATTGCTTATGTTTTAAAAATAATCTAACTTGTTTTTTATCAGATTTTGTGCTGCCATGCTCATTAACTTTTTTGTTGGAGTATATACTCTATGCTATATGCTGGAAACAGATAAAATTTGTACAGAACTTCATTTGAGTGGAATAAGTGTGTGTGTGTGTGTGTGTGTGTGTGTGTGTGTGTGTGTGTGTGTGTGTGTGTGTGTGTGTGTGGTGATGTAGAGAGGATTTAAACATTAGTTGCCCATAAAATAACATAGTTTCATATGTTTAGTTAAATAAATGAAGGAATCAATTTGCAAATATTTATTACAGGTCATGGCATTTTTTTATCATGAGGATTGTGGGACAATATTTATACGTTATATTTATTTAAACAATCTTTTTCTCTTTTGATTTTGTCAATGTGTTTAGGTGCGTAGTAAAAAATAGTTCTGCTGAAATTGAAGTAGAATTTCAGAATATTAATAATTATGTCTTTTCAGATGTATACAAAACACGTGTGATTTGTGTGCATGATGTCTCTCTAAAGAGTCTAATATTAGAATCTAGAGTTAGTCTAACAACAGTTATTTTTTTTCTTTTTTGTCTCATAGGAGAAGCTAACCTTCCTCCATACTTTATATCAACATTTGGTAGCAGGCTGTGTGCTTATAAAGCAACCAGAAGGCATCCTGGATAAATTCTCCTGGTCTGAGCTTTGTGCAGTCTTGCAGGAGAATGTTGATGCTCTGATCCTAGACCTCAGCAGGGCTAATGAGAAGGTAACTGTCCTCAGGCGCCAGATACCTCTATTAAATTCAGTGACATTTGTCCACATCACAGTATCATTAAAAGGGACTGACATTCATCTTATTTCAAAAAGAATTTGGATGTTAATAATTCAATACCATTAATTATGGCTTGTCTACAACTCAGTTTGATGCCATTGCTGTGGGCATGTAAATGTGACTGAAGTCTGTATGAAGTCTCTAAGCTCCACTTTCTGTGCAGGACATGCTAATACTACTAGCCAGTATTAGCCACAGGGACCTAATTAAATGAAAATAAATTAATCTTACTGATGAAGCAATTCAAAGAACTTAGTCATTTATACTAATAAACCAACTCTTTATCTTAGCATAAAAGAGAAACAAAATACAGGAGTATCATCTTAAAACTGTTTGCTTATGAATCAGAGTATTATTTTAAAAAATTGTGGTTTTAAAAATGTAATTATTTGGTTGTGGCACGTATAGTCTGAACTATAATTAATGTAGAACAACCATTATGAATTTAAAAACTATAAATATTTGTTTTGGGGGACACTATATTTTTATGGGTGATTTCATACTGCTAACTCTATTAAAAATATATTTTTGAGAAATCTGCTTTGTTACAATAAATTAAAGGGGCTCAGCAGACAAATATGTGCTGCTCCTAAGGATTTCCGTTCAAATTCTGGCTCCATTGATCAGGTCATCACTATGTTTCTGTGGTCTAGAAGAAAGATTCCAGATTTTGGCTATACTGACATTTGCTCTTGGGGGACAAAAAAGGAAAAACTGTTTCATGAGTTTCTCATCTGTTGGAGTTATGAACACTCTCTTGGATCAAGTTCAAGAACAGGGTTGCTTACAGTTAATCATTTTGACTCTTACTTACTATTAGTAAATATCCCAGCAGTCAATGGAAATCATTAACAGAGTTCGGTTAGACAACTATGTGGATCATGCAGATTAGACATGAAGGAAACCTATCTTTTTTCCTTGCAGAGGAAATAAAAGAACAACAAAATTAGTGGCACATCAGCTTCTTAGAATTGAACAGTGTTGTTTGCTCCATTAAAACTGCTTTTCTCTAAACAGATTTTTCCACCTGAAATTTTGTACAATGAATAGAAAAGAATATGTTTAGTTTCAGTATTGAAAAATGCAGGCCCATTTGAGATACATACTTAAATGGAAACACAGTTCCACTTAGCTTTAATAAAAGTTGCACGGGTAAAGCCTTGATCACTAAATTATATCCCTTAAGCTGCTCATTGAAATGCATCATAAAATTAACAAGCTTGCCTGGGAAAATAGTCATCATATCTATTGTAAAGCTCTCTTGAATCGCAGCAAATACAAGTTTATTTGGGTTTCAAATAAAGCATTACATAAAAATGCAACCTCTGATCATCATTATTACTTAACTTGCTGCATGTTTATCGTGCTAGAATTATTAATTATATAGCACCAGAATTGTTCTCTCCGCATTTCAAAGCAAATAAGATAAGGGTTCTTATGCAGAAGAATTCTAACAAAGACCAAAATAAAGCCTGGGAATCTATTTAGCTACAGGAGGTATAGGGACAACAACATTGATGAAATTAGCATAGGTTTCTGTTGTTGTTTTTTAAGAAGTGGGTTTTAAAGAAGTATTTGAAGCAGGAGATGTATGATATGCTTAGCTTTTTACTTCTCTGCTGTCGGAAGAAAATGCAATCAGAGTCTTCTTTCAAAAGTAACTGCTTAAATTAGGATTAAAAACAAACACAAAATAGCCTTTTTTAAAATAAATGTTTTAAAAAACATTCTTATGATGCAGGTATCTCACCTAGAATATATTTGCAAGAACAAGTCTGACACTATGAGGGAACTTCAGCAGACACAGGAAGACACTTTTAACAAAGTGGCTGAACAGATGAAAGCACAGGAAAGCTGTTGGCAGAAACAGAAAAAGGAGTTAGAGAAGCAGTACTCTGGACTCCTTGGGGAAGTTCACACAAGGGCACAGGTACTGTACTTATTCCAGAAATCTGTAAACTTTGAAAACCTTTCTGTACATATTTAGTATATTATTTTAGTATTTCAAGTTCTAAACCAGTTTAAATTTGCTTATGAATATATTTTGTATTTTAAATATTCTTTTACTATTAATTTTTAGTTACTTTAGGAAATGGAGGACTTAAAACATTCCTGAAATGCATTGCTTAATTAGATCCTGCAGTTGTATTTCCCTTTTTGTTATTTTTTAGAAGAGGTTAGAAACCTCAGCTGTAGAAACTGAAGTTTTCTCTGGACAAATAAAAGCTACACATGCTGACCTGCCAGTATATCTCAACTCTCGCCATGGTGGGCCATTTCTTGTTGAGAAGGTGGTTCTTTTCTCTTTCAGCTCTTTACTTCTGAAATGAGACAGAA